TATATATATATATATATATATATATATATATATATATATATATATATATATATATATATGTGTGTGTGTGTATTAACTTTTGATTTCAAGTTAATCAACTCACAAATACTAGTCTAAACAGACTGGCTTAAAATGTTTGAGCTTTGGTGACTTATTGGTGTTTATGGTGTGTTGGCGTCGGTTCGTGCCATCAGGACGAAGAGTGATTCTAATGCAGGGTTAGGTTAGTATCTAACTCAGCAGCGGAAACAGCTAAATATTTACTGCAGCAGAACTAATTCCATAAATGTGCTCCAATCTATTCAGAATGTTTAAACCCTTTTTTTATTCAAAAAGAACCTCAGGCGATGTGATGGAGGACCCACCTTCTCCTGCGTTGTGAGCGAGGATGGAACGAACTCGGGTCTGTTTCCCCTCCGTGTTTTTTCCAGAACAAGTATGGGAGCAAAATGACCACGGAGTCCAAGGGCTGAGGGCACAGTCCTTTGGGCAAGGCACCTCACAGATGGTGGGCATAGGGAGGATGGCATCCCGGCAAAGCTGTTTCTCCACCTTTTCGCCTGGATGGGAAAAGAGGAAATAGCTTTTAGTTATTGATGAAGATAAAATGACTTACAACAAATATTACTGTGGCTTCAGACATTTAAATGTTTAAGGTTAGAAAAATGATACTTATTATGGTCGAGTATATATTCTAGATATTCATTTGAAATTTGCCTTTCAACATTTACCCTTTATCAGTTCACTCTGTATTCATTTGATTGGTCACACCTTTAAAGAGGAGCCTGGCTGCTGAGTTGCTGATCTGTTTTGTATTGATCTACATTGAAGAGCTGTCCTCATTCTCTCCGCTTCATTCATCAAATTGAATCGTAACTCATCCTTTCTCTGAAAAACCCTTATCTGTGAAAATCTCATTGTGAGTGGCTGAAAGATCGGCAACCAGCGAGTCTGACGACATGGCGAAGACCCCGGGGAGAACTGGGTCTATTTCCATCAGAAGGAGGCAACAAGGAATCAATAGCAGGCCATTTAGCAGCAGATCTGCCCAATGACATCTGTGGCTGAACGGAAGCGCTGATGGTAAAAGATGCGAACAACTGGGACAGGGTTAATCAAAGAGCTTGAATTTATTTATTGGAAAACATCACGGCGTCTGCGGTGGGTTTTGTTCTTGATAATTAAAAACTCCACATATTCCCAACAGAGTTAGCTTCCATTCACAGTTACAGTGCTTGTTTCCCATCTGAAAGATTAGCAAGATGGGAATACTTACCTCTTAACATATTGTAAGATGTTTTAGATTTTGTTATTATTAAATCTTTCACTTTTAGACCTGCAATAATCAAAGCATTCTCTGTAATTTGGATAAAGAAGACCACCTGACATCGACCCTATATAGGGTTGGGAATCTGTCCTCTCTCTGCTGGACTCCTTGCTGTGAAAAGGAGCTTTGATCTTAACAAGGTGCT